ACCATATATAATGTTATATGATTTAAGTGCATTAATTTATTGATCGATTGCCCTTTTCTTTAATATAAAACCTGTGTGTATGTATCAGCTCCTGAAACTTTAATGCGTGCACTAGAACTTTTAAATTATCTTGGCGCACTTGATGATGAGGGAGAACTTACTGCTGATGGACATTTAATGGCAGAATTTCCTCTCGATCCTCAATTAGCAAAAATGTTGATAGAAAGCCCTAAATTTAAATGTTCAAATGAAATTTTATCAATTGCTGCGCTTTTATCAGGTTTTTAAAGATTCCTTGTTCCTTTTTAATAGGTTATTATTAAAAACTGATTGATAATTTTATATTATAAAGTTCCTAATGTGTTTGTGCGTCCAAACGATCTGAAGAAACAAGCTGAAGAATCAAAATCAAAATTTGCCCACGCTGAAGGCGATCACCTAACTTTATTAAATGTTTATCATGCTTACAAAACTAGTGAGTGGTTTTATTTAATATAATATATATTTTTATGTATGTACTTGTTTGTTTAGTTTTACCATTACTGCTTAATATATAGAAATTTTTTTTTTGGTATTTAGATAGCGATGACCCAAATTGGTGCCGTGACAATTTTCTTAGTTCTAGGTCTTTAAAATCAGCTGATAATGTACGTCAACAACTTAAACGTATTATGGAACGATGTGATTCTGATCTGGTCAGTACTCCATTCGAAAACAAAAATTATTATTCGAATATTAGGCAGGCTTTGACAGCAGGCTTCTTCATGCAAGTAGCTCATTTAGAGAAATCTGGTCATTATTTAACAGTAAAAGATAACCAAGTTAGTATATATTTTTTTAACAGTAGGAGATATATATAATAATTTAAATGTTTTATTAATAACAATATATTCTTATTAATATTACTATTATTTAAGGTTGTGCAACTCCATCCTTCTTCAACCCTTGGTCATAAACCTGAGTGGGTCATATATAACGAATTTGTTCTTACCACTAAAAATTATATACGTACTGTTACTGAAGTAAAAGCAGAATGGTATGTAGATTTTCTAATATATTTACAATACATGAATACATGTATATATATAATAATAATAATTTTTTAAATAAAAAAAAGGCTTTTGGATATTGCACCTCAATATTATGATCTATCCAATTTCCCCAACTGTGAAGGAAAACGAGAACTAGAAAGGATTAAATTGCGAAGATCTAGGAAAAAATAACGGTCTTGAACAAGGTAACCATATTTTTTGTATATTATTGTAAAAAAGTTTTTTTTTATGTTTGATAATGTTTTTTTATAGCTGTTTATTTCTCAACACATTAAGAAATTTTATGATTAACTTTAACCATTTATTTAATATAATAATGGTTACTAAATTCAGAATTTCTCAATTTTTATTATTATTTTAATTTTATTTAATTTATTTTTTTTTTTTTTTGCAAAACTAACAACTTTTCTCGTTCCCGAAAACTTTATTAGAAAGATATAAAAGTAAATAAAAAATTTTTATTTCATGTTTCTATACCAATCACTTTACTCAATCATACCTATAATGTTTAAATAGTCATTTATGAATTAAGAGTTTTTTAAAGGTACATAATTTTTGTCACGAGTTTAGATCAATAATCGCCACTACCGTTTTTTTTTAAAAAGCTTTTAATTCGTGGCCCGCCGATTGATGATGGAAATTCATTAATAAAAACCGAGAGGATCATCATTAATGTAATTAATAAATGTATTGTGTGACAAAAAGTTACATATTTATTATAAAAGTTTTGTAGAAATTATATCTTTGGAGAGGTTTTTTTTCATTATATTAAAATAAATAGTTTACTTCGGAGAAGCTACGGATTCCGGCATAAAACCTATATTAATATTAATATTAATATGTTATTAATGTTAATATAATTTTTTTTAATTTAATGTATAGTTCGAAATTTTTTTCTATACATTACTATTAGTAATGTTTTCAAATTAAAGTGTTTTCAATGACATTCATTATTATGAACCCTAAATATAAGTTTCCTATAGTTACTTGACAATAAAATATCTTAATAAAATTCATAAGTTCTTTGATTTATAGCTTGTTTTTGGTGTTCTGGCTTTACAGCAGTATAATGTTGAATAGATTCTACTTTAGGAAATATTTCACCATTTTTATTAATTCTGCATGCATATTCCATATCCAGTGTGTGTGTTTACATTAAAGGTAGCTAGCTAGCAGAAAATTCGTGCAACAAAATTTGAAAAAAGAAATTATTGAAACAAAATATACTTTTATTTATTATATTAGAATAATTCCATCTTTTATTAATAAATCATTGATGTTTTTGAGTATAATTCTATTTTTATTGATAACCAAAAACAAGGCTTAGCTGTTTAATCATTTCCTTGTGTGTGAATTCCTTCATATACTAAATATTCATGATGGTCATGATTATTATTCAATACATTTGATATTACCATTGACATAACAAAAAATTGTATCACACAAGTAATGATAATACCAAGATCATGCATAAATGAAAATTTTAATAATGCATGTTTACCCAGATCTTTGGGATTAACAAAATAAATTTTTTTTCCTGATTATCAATTATGGTTCCTTATGAATAATAAATCTGATGTTAATCATGTCAGATTTAAATTAAGAATTTCCTATCTCAAACATTCAGTTTACCATGAAATTTTTACGGGTGAAGTTTCCCCATGTTTGGAGGCTTTGGCTTTCCCTTATTTTCCTCTCAGACCAGGCTTGGCTGTTACCATATACTTATAATGATTGAGTCATGTGATTTTATAATCCAGCGACATAAAGAATATCATTGCTATTTTGGGATTCGAGATTTGGCATTTTAATGTCACTATACTTTCTAAAATTGGAATAATTTTGACCACTGGAATCACCAACCAATTTGGGCTGCATGTATATTGTTGAGACATTTTCAAGGTTTTAATCATGGAAAATTTTAATTGTAAGAATTTGATAAAAGAAAATTTGAACAGATTTTTTGGAATTGTTTGTGTTATCTTGTTTTTTTATTATTCTTTTAATTATTTGGAAGTTTGGATCAAATGTTCTTTAATTAAACAATTTTAATACAGTTGCTCACTTTACATTTTTTATTTTTATATCATGTGAATTCACTATAATGCAATTGGTACTTACTATTTATTCATTGTACATTTAGTATTAACTGTAGGTTTATATTATCATTATCATTATCACTATCATAAGGATTATAGTTGGTGGAAAATTTAAACCATGTTTACCTAGTACAATAATGAAATATAAGGATTGAAATATTTATATCAAAAACATCTGTGTAACCAATGTTGGTTTGATAATTACACAGAACAATTTAATCTCAGACTCCTTTTTGCTGGTGGAGATCCCAATTGTCATTTATAGAATTTTCAGTGGATGTACAATTACTGATAATTTTGAAAAATTACCAGGATATGGAATTTTTTACATGAATTTAGTTTCATCAACCTATCCAAACTTGCTAACATCCTAAAGGTTCAGAACAACATAAATTCATCAGCTTCAAATAAGATGTAATTTATCCATTTTCTAGAATGACCATTTTTTTTGTTACTTTACAAAAATACTAACCCTTTAACCATCAATATTGACTTACTTGAAATTTTCCAAATTTTAGGTAACCTATCTATGTAGTTTCCAATAACAATATCAACATAACCAGGACCTAATAAGTTGCAAAAAGCAGATGTCAAAACAAAAGACTCTCAGGGATAAAGTTGCTTGCTGGAACCTTTTAATGACTGCTGAAACTCTGCTGAAATTCTAATAAACAATTAGTGTGTAACCTGCTGAAACTCTGCTAATTGTTGAAATCCCTAAATGCAAAACTCTGCTGAAACTCTAACAAAAAATTAGTGTGTTACCTGCCAAAACTCTGCCAATTGATTTCCAGAGGAGTTTTGGCAAGCAACCATACTCAGGGAAAGCCAAAAATCAGTGATCAATATCAAAGATGAAACACAATGAACCAATCTGAAGAGAAGGATTCCATTGAAGAGTTGGGTGATGATGGAACCCAAAACAAGCCTGAAGAGATTGTTGATTCAGGTACAAGTGCCAGTAAATTAAAATTGGTGAAAACCACCAGGTGATGAGAAAAAATTTGCTAATTTAATCTTATCTGTCAAATCATATTTATTTAATATATTTATTATACGGGGCATGCTGCAACAAAACCAGACAAAGTGAACATTGGTATTACCAAAAATTTCAGGGATCAATATGTTTGTTTTAATATCACAATTGTATCACAATGTAATGTGATCATGAATATTTGCTTTTTTTGCTTAGGATTATCTCTAGACAAAAATAGTTAATATGAAACTCATCTACATCAGATCTACTATGGAACCCAAGAATTATAGTACTATCAGAAGAAAGAACAAGGTGAAAAATTGCTCCTTATATTTTCAAAATATATGATGCTCAGACACTGGAAGCTTATCTAAGAAAGAAAGGATTACCTATGAAATTTACCAAGAAAAATCATAACCAGTAAAAGAACCTTATCACAAAATCATGAAGAATTTAAAAAGAAAAGAAAATTGGAAGGGAAATAATTCACTACCTAACTTATCTTTTAAAGATTAAAGAAATTAAAAAAGATTTTGTAACAATATGTGAATACGTAGTATTAATTTTTCTTATTTCGCGTGGGTAGTACAAATTATTTTGAACATGTGTCACATAGAAAACACGAATTGATTTCGTGATGGATTAATCACACGCTTCGAACGTGTTACGTTCATTTATTTTATTTATTATACCAATAGTTATCTTTACATGCGGAAATAGCTAATATTATTTATTATCATTATTAATTCATATTATTAATATTAAGTTAATTATTAAGCTGCAGCTTTCCGGGAAGCCCTATGGACATGAAACACCATATGCTCAAATATTAATTTATATTTATATTTGACTCTAATTTGAATTAATTAAATCATGAATCACAGAATCAAAAATTACACAATCTCTGACTTCATTTCTTCTTCTTCCAACTCAGAAGTTCACACTGAGGGTGCTGTTGACATTCCCTTTCTTTCAACATGTGTAAAACGCAATGAAATAAATAAAATGCACCACTGGATAATCGGCCAAACATTCCTTCATCACCATTCTCTCATTATCGCCATCATGATCCAACAATGTTCCGACCATGGCATCCATCCAAAAATCTGATCACCATGTAAAAAAATATGTAAAAAAAAAATAATTAGAAAATTTTGTTTTCAATTAATCAATCTTTTTATTTATCATAAATAAAAATTGTTTTTTCGTTTTTCACTTATCAAAAATTATGCAATCAGATATTGATCCAGAATTAATATATTACAACAATCATGATTATTATGTTTATATGGAGTAGTACTGCTCTAAGCCTAGAAATACCATCTTCGAATTCACCATCTTTGAATGATTTAAATACTGCTAATTCTCAAACTCTTGCTAAAAAAAATAAATGATTTATGAGGAGGAAGTGAAAAAAGGAGTATTGCTTTAAACAGGAAGGTGATTTTGTGAAATGTCAAGTAACTGTAAAGTGAGGTGATAAAGAAATTATGTGTGGAGAAGGATTGAATGTTTTCAAAATACTATCGCAGAACATAAAATTGTTAAAGATGGTAGTGAAGTAAAAAAAAGATATATTGTTGATAATGATTAGAGATTAGACTTGAGAATTTTTTTCAATTGATCGATTAACCATGATATCAATAAATGCACAAAAAGTTGATGGCCAATAACAGGGTTGGCATGATGGACCAATGGATCAGTGGACTCTGGTCAAATGCTCACTTGGGCTATTGGTCTATTCAAAATTCACAATGGATTTCATCTGGTCTATTGGTAGTCCATTTATTTTATTGGTTATTCAGGGGGTGTGACGCAATAGACCATCAATAGACCAGAAATTAATGGATCATCAATAGATCCAATGGACCTGGTCCAAAATCTATTGATCACAATGGACCCGGTCATTTGCCAACCCTGGCCAATAATAATTAAAATAAATTAATTTTCATTTTAATGCGCGCGTATATAATATTTTTTTTTCTTTTTTTCTGCGAATTAGGAGGCGTGAATGAAAATCTCGATGGCGTGAACTTGTTCAAGTTAGTGATCATTTCAAATATCCCCCTACACACAATTTTTTTTTTCTAACAGAGAAAAAATAAATTTCTATTATTATTTTTTTTGTCACTTATCAAAAAGAAATGTAGAATATGTAAAGATTTAATATTAAGTACAGAATTGAATGTATTTTCGAATTAAACATAATATTATATATATACTGTATTTTATTTTTTTTTTCAAATTTTCAATTTGGTTGTAGATTGTACAGTACAAAATGTATACCCCTTAAAATTAAAAAAAAATTTTTACATTTCTCTTAAATTGTAAACAAAGGGACAAAAGTATGATCTATTCTGAAATCAGAAACTTTACACGCTTTATATTCTGCTGATTATCCATCAGAATTTTGATTATTATATATATATGTGTGTTTTAATGTGTATTTTGAAAAAAGAAAAAAGAGATATCTAATAATAATTCAAAAAGTCGTGAAGTTTGGGAAAAAAAAAAACAAATAAAAACAAAATGAGAGCAAGCCTTGACAAACTTTATGATGCCTATGAAAGATTATTTGGAAATAGTAAATCAAATTTATATATACTTAGCAATTACAAGTAATTTAGATTTTAATAGAAATGAGCGTCATGATATTAATGCATTTTTTATTGGAAAACATCAAGTCAGTATTTTTTTATTTTTTTTTTTGAAATAATTTTTGTGATGAAAAAACATTTCACCACCCTGCAACAGCGCCGATTTATTCCATACATTTTGTTTTGATGTATTGCCACCCTAGTTGGGCGGCTCGGCAATATAATCTTGCAATTTGTTAAAGTGATGATATTGTTGTCCTAAAAAAAAAAAAAAAAAAAAATCTAGTACCAAAAATTATAAATATTATTCATTAGAATGAATGATAATTCATTTCTTTTTTTAATTTATTCTTTATCTAGGAAACTGAAGAGAGGTTCACGAGCCGTGTTTTTTATCTATCCATCAAAAATTTATATGAAAACGATAAAAAATTCACTTATTCTGAGATAATTAATGGCTGTGCGGAGGAAAGAAATATCTTCGTATTCAACAACAATAACAACAACAGCAATAGTGATGATAGTAGTGACGATAGCGGCGACGACGATAATGGTGATTCTACTAATACAAAAGAGCTATCTGATGATAGTTACATTGATGAGATACAACCTGCTAATCCACACACCGAAAGAATCAATTCGTTGTGTAGACTTAAAGTAATTATAGATTTTTTGTTTATTTATTAATTTAATAGGAAAAGATAATAAATTTATGGGTTTTTTTTTAATAGAAAGTGGAACCCGTGATTAGCTGGACCTTTAAAAAATACGATATTTTTCGTTCAATTTTCAAAGGTTTAAACAAGGAGCTACTAATTGGATTGGACTACAATGATCTGATTAAATCTTACATTGTTGATTTTACTACTGAAAACGTTTTCATTGATGCTAAGTTGAAGAAATTACGCGAGAGGTATAATACCAATGAAGGCGATATTATATTTGAAAAATATCATAGTAACTATGACAATGATAATCTACTAAGTTTTTTTAATGATAACAACAATATGGAAATAACAACTGAAGAGTCAATAGCAAAATGGCTCATAATAGAATTGTAAGGAATTTTTTAGATGAAAAGATACGTGGAAATAAACCAGATTTTGTGATAAAATATGTTGACGAGTCCCTAATTGGAAAAAATATATTCGAGATTTGTTTCGGAGAAGTCAGTGGCAGTCCTTTTGATGAGGATAATGATAAAGTCAGTGATGACAAAAATAAATTGGTTAAATTTGGTAATGATTCCAAACGTGAGCTGTTATCTTTCATTTTTAAAAAAAAATAAACTTTATGGTGAGGGACACCTAGAGGATATTTTGAAGCTCCCAATCATTTTGATCCAGTGGCGGGGTAATCTATATTTTAATGTTTGATATTGTTCTTTATTTTACGAGCAGAATATAAATAATGTTTTGTAATTTCTCCAGGATTGGTCATGGATATCTATAAACTGGTTCACCCAACATACATCAGAAACGACAACAACCTCGTGCCCATTGGCGCGCTGACAAGATTATATTCTGTTATAATTCCATTTATGAAAAAAGACAAAGACACTGTACTAAAGTTCATACAAGTCACAACCCAATTACGATCCACAATTGAGGATATCATAAAAGAATATGATCACCACTTTACTACTTTGTCGACGGTGGAAAACTGCAGCACCAACTCAAATTACATTTACACCACATCAATTAAATCTCCACGATCAGTATTTTAACTAATTTGTGCATGAATATTTTTTCTTGATTTTCTCGTCATTAATAATTTTCATACAATGCGACCTTTTTTTTACCCATCGAAAAATTTTTTATTCTAGAAATGGCATTTTATAGAATTGATATGCAGTCAAACTAAAACAATAATAATAAATAATAAATAATAAATCATCCACAAACTAACTCATCTTCATGGACGTATTGTTCCATTGAATTCATTTTATTTTTCAATACAAAGGAGAGATCGTCCCATATAAGGAGAGGATTTTCACAATTTATTGAAAATTTTAACAAGGGTATCAATTCACGTTAAATGTATCGTGCAATATTCAATTTCATTCGTGTTTGCATTCTAGTATCATATGTCCCATAATCTTCTGGATAGATTGATAAGCATAATATTTATTTATATTATTAGTTTATTATGTTATTATGACTTTATCAGTCTATGTAATTTTATATAAAAAGGACATTTATTTAAGTTAATAAAATAACTTGTATTTTTACGATAATTAAAATACCTGTTTGGAAACATACTTTTTGATCCTCGTAAAAATAATTCTCACAGTGGCCCATTCTTGCAATAAATCATAGGTAAATAATTACACAAACTTGAAGCTTTATAATGTGTTGTTATAATATCTTTTGAATCCCTTTGAATCAAAATGTCTGAAGTCAAATGTTGCACAGAATGTAAAACCACCGAATCAGCTAAATTTCGTAATAAGTGGAAAGAAACTGAAAATAACAACTTAGTGGAGGTAACGTGGACAGAAGATGTTGTTTTATGTAACATTTGTTATAGAAGATCCTTTAAAAAGAGGTCCTAAGAGAATAAAAGTAGCTGCAAACGAAAAAGCCACAGATGAGGAAGAGGAAGAGGTAAATGAAAAGATTGATTTCACTGGAGTCATCAAGATGATGGCCAAAATCTTTTATGAGAAAGAACATTCGAATAGTCCTATGTACGATTTTGATGAAATGCGAAGATTACTCCAAAAATTAGAACCAAGCTTGAAGGGGTTTTTTGATTACTCTATTTAGATTTGAACGTAATGAACAAAGATGGATTGTATGAAGAGATTCATTACGTTCATATTTTATCTTCTTCATTAAATAATACAAAAATTAATTCTTTTAAGTTTCGACCTTACATTCTATTTAGATTTGGTAGGTACAAGTGATAAAGGCCTAAATACAATGGCAACCTTGGAGCAACTACAACATCAAGAGCAGTAGATCGTAAAAAGAAGCAAATTGCAGATGAACATGAGAAATATGTAGAGAATGCACTTACAAAACATTCAAAAAATGTATTCGTGTTGAATGTTGATGATTATCATAGCATTCACGTTCAGAGACAACCTGATACCACCACTACATCTTGGGCAGCACATATGGCTACGGTTGTAACAAATCCACGTCTCAACATGTCAGCAATACCACGTAATTGGGCATTGGATCCAAAAATCATCGATGATGAGTTGATTATGGAACATCTCAATGACCGATTTATCACAAATCTTGGTGCCTCTTATGGTGATCGCATGCAAGTCTGTCTATATAGGTAAGAAATGACGAGCTCATGAACAGACCAACGTTGCATAGTTACAATGATAGGTTGGTGTACAGAATGCCATCCTCTTCGATTTCATTGAAAGCAATTTGAAAAGCGTGGAAGATTATACAAAGGCTCTCCGAATCGTACATGATCAAGAACCAATGCAAGCATATCTTTCCAACCATGCAATTCCCATTATTGCGGACTGGCCTGATCAATTTTTCATTCGTAAAGCTATTGTACACCAGCTTACAGCATTTTTGCCTATTATGGGTTCTCTCCATGTAATGTGTCTTTAAATGGTCGTGAACTCGTATTTACGAAAAATTCATTTTTATTCAAAGATATTTATAAAGGAATATTTGCCATGGCAAATCGATTTTGATTCTTCACATCATGCACATGGCGTGGCTTATTGGATGTGACAAATCATCCAATGATTGATCTGGTTACTAATTATCTCGTCTCTTTAAGTGATAGTCCTGTAGAAATCATTCACGAAGATGTACAGCTAAGTTTTTCACTGCACAATAACTGCAAAAGGAGGCACGTTTTATTTTTCAGCATCGAGAGGATAATACTCTTCAATAACATTTCGTAGACACTGTGAAATATCCGTATACACCAAAACAATTGCTTATGCTTTCCTGAAAGTGTGCCATACTGCTTTTAGATGCATTTACGAAGATATATCAAGCACGAAATCAGTATCCTTTGATTAAAACTTCATCTGATGGTATTAACTCATACAAGTTGCCTTCTTTAATTTACGAAATAACTGATCGTCACCTTCCAAGAGGCTTTGTTACTACTAGAAAACCATATACAAACATCTTTTATGATTACATATATTGTAATTACACTAACTATACTAATTCGAATGGTTGTAATGTACTCGCATGTGGGCATGGTTATCACAATCATCATCTACAAAGGTTCCAATCTAAATGTTTGATATGCTTGGACTATCTTCAAGTTGAAATCAAAAAAATGTCAATGCACTAAAAAAAGTATGACGAAAAGGTTAAACGAAAACGAATTTACCGAAAATGTTGAAAATACAGTTGATAATCATTCGGATAATGCTGAACCAGCGCAGATGATGCGACAATGATGGAAAATTTATTAGAACATGCAAAAAAAAAAATTTTTTGTGTTGTAAATTTTGTTTTTATTAAATAAATTTGTTCGATTTTTCATACATCATTCATGTTTTGTTTTAATTGTATAACTTAAATTGGTCGCGTTTACTTCACAATCATTTCGTCGACATTCATTTCATTCATTGTTACATTATGTCAAGGTTATTCGAATATATGAAGAAATTAAACGAAAAAGTTCTTTTTTTATTAATTTTTTTCGATAATATCATATTCGTTTACCTTTTAAAAAAAGGACCGGACCTGGACTAAAGGTTACATCTGTATCCCTGTGGATATCCTTTGCAGATCACCGGTAATTAATTTCATTATGAACTTGGAGACTCTAATGTCTTTGAGTAGTATAAATATATCAGTTAAAGAATTATAAATCAAGTTTTGTCACAAAAAAGAAAAAACTTTAAATTGTAATTCAGATCTAAGAAAGACAGGTTTGCGGTAAATAGTCATTTTATCAAGAGATTGGGGGAGGGAGAAAACATGGCGAATTTTCTTTCCTCAAAGGTATTATTAAAAAATATTTGAGATAAAACATGACTGTCGCCTCGTAATGAATCGTCTTATGAATTCTATTCACGTATCTTCAAACCACTGGAAATTAAAGCCAAGTTCCTGAATTTTCTGTGGTTGAGGTTCTGGCATCATTTCCCCGATCCTGATGTGAGATCATATTGTTTGCTTATGGTTAAATCATGATAGAATCCAAGGCGAAAGTAAGAGATATAAGTTCCGTCGATGCATCATCATTATCATCATTGCTTTGGATCCTCAAGAAAATTCGTAATATTGTGGATGAAATGTCATCGAAAATTTGCAAATGTCAAATGTAGTTTTATTCCCTGAGTTTAAAATGAAATAATAATAATACATGATTAAACGCGGTGGTTTTATTCTGAAACTGCGAGACAAATGTATAACGTAGGAAAATATTAGTTAAAAAAAACAAACGCGATGCACGAATTAATGCGCGTTAGAAAAGAGTGGATAATTAATGGTTATGAGTAGTTAACCAGTTACATGTTTGTTCGTTAATTAATGGATATTAGAACGATGCTGGAAAACATTAACTTTCATTAATTATGTTTCCTCAATTTATTTTAAGCATCCCGGGAAACATAAGATAACATGTATTCTATTAATTAATTATTTATTGTCATTTTATATAAATATACGAATGAAAAGATCAATAAAGGTTGATATGTTGATATGTTGAAAAGTACGAAAATAATTATTCTCTAGTACTAGGAATAATTGAACGTAATTATTGATTGTTGGGAGTAATTCGACTTCTAGGATTGTATTCGCAAAACTGAACGTAAAATTCGTAAAATAGGATATAAAACTGTTATAGTTTGATAACAGCGGAAAATAAATTATTACAACATAGAAAAATACATAATTATTTAAAGACAAAGTCACTTTTTATTAAATTGTTGTTAATGAAAATAAAATATTGCAAATATTTATTAATTTTTTGCCTCTTTAAATACTTTGTTCTTTGATTGGTCCCTTTCCATCTCTCTTTCTCTCATCTCAAATTAAAAAAACCTACAAAGTGAGCATAAAATTATATATATAGGGATAAGTGTATATATGAAAAATAATAATAAATGTAA